GTGTAATAGAGGCGAGATAAATATATACGTATCTGTCCCAAATACGAGCAGTGACATTCAGGAAAATGCACGTAAAGTTGAATGCAACTCGATAAATCAAACAGTGTATAATAGTTATTGACAAAATTAACAAGAGTGGAAAATACCTGAATAACGACGGCGAAATAATCGAAAAATTTAATTGGATTGAAAGAAAGAATATATAATTGTGTCAAAATTTCGTTACATATTTATTATCATCATTATCATTCGTATATTTACCCAAATATATTTTAATATGCTCTCCCTCCATCCCTCCTCTTTTTCCTCCCATTTAATCATACAAGATAAATTGCAAAACTTGATAATTCACTTAACTATAATGCTGATCCTACTTTATGTTGTTATTAACGAGAAAATACGTTACGGCAGACCATATTGGATATTCGCATTTGGGTCAGAGTTTTGATTGAAGAGCCGCCATTAATTGAACAAACGGACATCTTCGTATTGCCACACCTGCTAGTTTTACATCGTATGACTGATGATATGGCGCATATACACGGACGTGTCCTATAATACGACAGTCCCACACAATCGTGCTTTTCGAGAGAATATCGATAGTTTCGCAATACTATACCATGGCGCTTTATTAGGCGAATACAATTACGGATCAAAACGCGATATTCCAAACATCCTAAATTCCGTTTTGGGTATTACGGTTTCGCGGATGCTCATTTCCTGGGATTAGTTCGCCAGATGCTTACAAATCGAGGTAATACTACATCCATTCCATCATCTAATCAACCATCGATCATTTCCTATCCTCGAGAACTATATAATTCCAAGTTCCATTTTTCCCAATGAAAATTTCACGCTAATTACGCTTGCGGGGACTTTATTAAAACGCTGCGGCATTAAGGGTCGCGCTGAAAATTTATTTGCTCGCGAGATTAATTAAAATCGTATTATCCGTTCGCGCATTTTTTGCAGCTTAATTCACGCGATCGAATCTGAAATATTCCATATTTATATATCCCGATTCTATTATCAGCGCGGAGATTTTGACGACACTTCCGACCGAATTTATATACAAGCAGATATTTCTCTAGTATACGGTAAATATACATTTTTTTTTTTATCGTGTTCGCATTATTCTCGACGAAGGCAATCCGCCCTTATTTCCTGACCGCTGTGACATCGCACTTTACCTCGATATTATTGACGTTTTTGCCGAGATATTTGGACCGTATTGATAAACCCATTTCACGATACGACCTATACACGAACACACGCGAGATGAAAAGCAACGACCGGTGTGATTCGATGGGACGAAACCAATTAATCCAACGTCCCGACAGTCATCAGAGAGAGTCGAGGCAGCAGTCATCAGTCTTCGGTGTTCTCCCCCAGATTATTGTCGCAGTCGTTTTCGACGATCAGATTTTCATCGAGGAAACGAGAAATGGGGAAAGACGCGAAGTCTGGCGTCGCGATGCCGCGAAGGCAATTAAATTTTCCGCGTCCAGGAATATATAGTTACCGCGATGCTATACCTCGAGACACTATTGACCGTTCTTCCCCTTCCCCACCCCTTCGTCTCCCACCCCCTTTCCTACCCCCGCTGGGCACACGGGGATTTAGAGATAAATCCTATTTTGCGGGGCATTCAAAAGCGAGGAAATTATACGAACCACTCCAATTTCCAGGATTAACTTGAAAGCGCCGACTATGCGCGTTTACCTGCCTGCTGTCATTAAAGCAAACATCTCGCGGCCGCGTTACGAAATAACGACGTCGAAAAATGGACGTTTCCGCCATTACTCTGACTTGACTGTTTTTATTTTTTTTTATTTTTTTTTCGACGAAACTCTCGATCGCGATGAATGACGACTGGGGACGTTATACTTTTTTTTTTTAACAATCTACACAAGTTTGCGAATAATGTTTTTTTTTTTTTTTTTTTTCTCAAAGAAACATTCTAGACATACCGTTAGGGTATCTCGCGAGTGTGCCAAATAATTTCAGAAATAGTTGCGATACTTCTCTCTCGGATGCGACAAGACACGCCTATGTGCTATTTCTATCAAGATGCCTCTTCGTCGTAAAGAGATGTTGCTCTCCGAAATACGCGAAATAGATTATTTTTCGGAATGTTGCAACTATTTATAGCTTGACATTGGTTATAAAATAGGGAATCCTTCACAAGGTTTATTTAAGATCAATATTTTTGCGCACGACAAAATTGTATTCTTTTATATATATATGTATGTATATTTATAATGTGTGTTTTTATGTACTGATATTTATTCCATATATTTTTAGATATTTTTTAGAAATGGTTTTTACATTACATTTGATAGATGGAGCTTAGAAATAGAATTCTGTCGCGTGTCATTTTAATGCCTGTTTTCTAATTTCATTATTAAATGAGTAACACAAACGTTATTGGAAATGATGGACGGTAGAATTATGCATATAAATCTTGAAAGTCTGTTTAGTTAATGTTGAATTTCCAAATAGTTCCTTTATGAATAACCGACAAAGTTTATATAAGAAGTGTAATGGATGTTATCATGTATTTATTCGATAATTTGCGAGTTGAGGAACTGCACAATCTATTTAATTTATAAAGCAGTTACATTGTCAGATATTATATTACATGTTGTTCAATCTTGTCTCATCACTGCATTCAAACACATACGTTGCTAAAATTATACTGGAATTATCTTTACAAACATAAATATATAATTCTCTTTATTTTTTTAGAAATCTCTTATCAGTACATCGGATAAATATTCGTTTTCAATACCAAAAAAAAATAAGCTGCATAGCATAACAATATTATTACACATCGAATTTATATTCGAAAGTGAATTTAATTTTAACAAAATTCTGGAAAAGTATTAAGAAACATTATTATTATTATTATTATAATAGATAGACGATATCTTTTTTCCTGCCAACTATAAAAACCAGTTGTTCTAAACAAACAGCAATTTTTCTCCAAACCTCCGATAACGTTGTTAGAGGTCACGTAGGCTCCAATATCGATGATTCGAACGAGTGTTGCGTAAGAACGCTGATAAGGAAGCGATCGGGAGAAACCGTCGCGCGAGAGAGAGAGAGAGAGAGTTCAAAGGGTCAAATCCTTCGCGGAGGCGGCCTCAGCCGAATTATTATCGATCCCGCTCGCTCGCCGAATTCACGGAGGCTTCTACGGACGGAGCGTGACAGAACGATATCGTCCCGTCGCTGGTTCACGTGGCTTTTATTGATCTACTACGAGTCCGCCGCGCCGGTTTCACGAAAGAACCGCACATCGCCGGCTCTGTCTCTCGTCTGCGAAAAGTTGGATCGATCCCCCCCTGGGTGTCAGTCGGAATCTGCCCGTAACCGCTGTCTGAAGTACACTTTAGTCACGCTACTATACGCGACAATGTGCCACTGTAGGTTCGTTGACACTACGGCGATGATGCCTAACACCTCTTGGCGAGGGAACATCGAATTTTTGATCTTCTGGAACCTTTGATTTTTCACGTTCAACTCTCAAATAATATTTTTTCATATATTTTTCAAATAGAAGACAAGACACTTATATTTCTTCTTTTATGTCATGTTATCAGTGTAACGGCCATTTATTAAGCTGGGGATTATATTTGACTTTTATTTAAACATTAATATGCTCTTTAAAAATTTAGTAAGACCTAATCTCTTTTGAAAGCTTTTTTCGAACTATTCGAAAAAGATGGATAAAAGGGATCAATAGTTATTATAGATGATGATACTTCAGGAATTCAAGTAATGAAAATAAAAAATGGTGAAAAAACCTAGTAGATATCCGCCATTGTTTTTTTTACGCGTAAGAATTACGTGAATTCTAATTCTCGAATTGACGATAAAATAGATCATATTTTTAGGAAAAATCGAAAGACTGGAGTGTAAATCTTTAAAGGCCACGTAAGAGTTGCATGGTTATACAATCTATCGACGATATATAGACACGACAAGGTCTCGCGTCGATCAAGATGATAAGATAGAATACTTTCGGAGTAAATGGCAACTATACGCGACAAATTCCCCTGGTAAAATTGCAATTGTGACGTAATCGATAGCGTGTCCGTCCTTGAGGCGCGCTACGATATTTCGTGATCGTCTTTAATTAAATAATTTTAGCGTTTATTATAACATCGCTTGTGTGGTCGAGATATATTTTGAAATAAATGAGAAAAATATTTAAAAAATTCTTTTTCGTGCATCCAAGTTTAAGAACGCTTTAAGAATCTCGTCCCGGGACAATATGATACACTTTGACAAGCACAAATACGTCATCGATCACATCAATTGCAATTATGCCGAAGCGTGGTTTATCTTGTCAGCGCGATGCACCCAGGATTCACGCCGGCGCGAATCCATTTTATATCCTCCATGTGCGACTCTTCATTTCCCAAATATCAAATATCCTCCCGAGAATACAATTCGCACCACACACAAACACACGTAAAGACACACCGCGTGTTTTCGCCGAGTTTCGACGACCTCACTCCAAGATATATATGTCATATCTATATCCACACTGTCTGCTGTCTCGCAATCCTCTAGGAGCCAAAAAAAAAAATCGATTCGGAAACATGCATTCGACGTAGGGCAACGTCTCGTGACATATCGTCGAACAGCATGCAGCAACGCCACGCGCATTTTCGGAAAGAAGGGTATGTGTATGTGTATAGGATCACCTAAGTTCACCTGTGCTCGTCAGAGATACGCAGGATCAAGGACAAGTTATGGGACGAGAATGCGATGGATGGAGGAAGAACTGAAACGGAAAGAGAGGGAAAGAGAGCACAGGCCGCAGGGCGTACGGGGCTACATCTGTACCTCCTTACTTGGGCAAAATCAATAACCTGTTTGGGGGTTGTAGGAGAGAAGACCTAAGGAAGAGGAGAGACTCTGCGTGTATGTAACGGCGGCATCGCGTCGCGCTCTAGATTCAGATGAGGAACAAGTTGTGGGATACGTACGGTATCGATGCCAGGTGCTAATGCGTCCCCGTAAATACACACACACACAGCGAGAGCGAAGCACGGCACCTCCCCAGGTCTTTCTCGGTGCTCCGATGTTGCGCGGGAGTTGCGCGAGGACACCCCTCCTCGTGTGCACGCCACCCCCGAGTTCCTCCGCACCTGCGACACTCCCCGTGTGTACGTACAATCAACCTACACCGCCACCCCTTGAAACCAGCTCGACGGAAAAACACACAGGCCGCTGGTTCTAGCCAATATTTTGCGGTTCGAGACGAGTGTAGTAATTCGAGTCGGCCACCACCAGCTTTCTCTCTCTCCTGCACCGAAACCAGTACTGGAAATATACCGGAAGTGCCGACAGGTTCTTCTCCTCTATCCCGGACACTTTTCACCCGCACGTCTGTTTTCTCTCGGACCAGTCGAGCATCCACCGACGCGATCCGAATAATGTGTACACAGTAAAAAGCAAGCAACACACGATTACTTGGAAAATAATATAGCGACGTCAAGATTCTTATTAGCTTCACACTTCTCTTTTACATTCGATATACCTTCGACAGTGCACACTTCTCGCGGAATCTCGCGATGAAACGCGACGAAACGTCACGCCGACGACGACCCCTTTCGCTGGGGTGGCGCCCTCGGGAGAGACTCTCGGGTACGCGCGGTCGTCGCTTTCACCGTGTACCGTATTACACACCACCGCCACCACGCTAACCCTCCTTCTTCCTCTCTCTCTCTCTCTCTCTCTTTCTCGCTCCAACTTCACCCTCGCGCGCAACTCTCGACGCGGAGAAACGCGGCGCGCGCGCTTCGAGCTGTCGCGGCTGTGGGGCGCGGGCCACTACCTCGACGAGCCTCCCGGATCGTTGGATAAAACTTGGTGGGGCCGTTCCGGTCGACGTGCGAACTCCCCACCATCTCTCGGTCGGAGAGTCCCCACTATCGGTCTCGTTCAATCTCCCTTCCTCGCTCTCTCTTCTTCCCTCCACTATACGTTCCCCTTTCATACGCGCGCTACTCGACTCCACCACCACCACCACCTCCACTGCCGCCATGAGGAACGTAGTCGTCGACGAGGGGTTGGTTGCAGGGTGCGCGCGCGAACCCTGCTTCGCTCGTGTACGTTGCCTGCGTGCCGTTAAAGTTGTGCCCTCGCGCGCGTCACCCCAACATTCACGATCGAGAATGAAGATAACGCAGGGCGAGCAGGGTGGTCGAGACTTATAGGGGGATGACGCGACGGGGTTGCCTCTCGGATTCGATGACCTGCGGATTCTTGGCGAGCGATACTCTCGTTAGATAGGGGAGAGAGAAAGAGGGAGGTTTTGGGACAGATTTCTTATGTAACGTGTATGTGTTGGAAATGCGAATCTCTCGGATTCTTTATCGCGCGATTGTTCTTATTAATCTCACGCGCTGTCTCGCGTTTGCCAAAAGAATTCGCGACGTATTTCCGCGAATTTATGGGATTTCGCAGTAATCCAATCCGTGGCGCGCTTTGTTGTTAATTTTCTCGTACGAATTGAATTCCAACAGTTTGCGAAGATATTTCGTTCATTTTAAGCTAAGCCGGAGCGCAGTTATTTAATGAGCGACCTTTCTAATAATTAAGAGTCTTGCGCGTATACGTTCAGTCTCGCTATCGCGAAAACTGCAAACCTGAAGACGAATAAATTTTATGCTGTCGTCGTTGTCGGAGAAAAGCCTTCATAATAAAACATAGGCAACGTATAGCAATCTCTTCTTGGTGGATACGTGAGTTGGCAAACGAAACTTTGCAGGAGAGGACACGAAAAACTTCCTCGCGAGAGGAAGATCGATGGAGGAGGGTTTACCTTTATCGAAACGACGGGGTTTAACGACATTTCGAAGTTAATCAGTGTTGCGTAACTCTACTCTTTCTTTTTTCCTTTTTCTCCATTTTTACCGTAACTACTGACGGATAAGTCGTTTCATTTGCATATCTCGTTCGAGTCGGTGAAGCTACGATAAGAGATCGAGGTGGTGGACCGACTAAGCTCGTTAGTGAGCCGGAAGACACGCGTAATACGAAAGAGAAACGCGAATGAATAATTTCATCTTGTGTTAGAGCGTATGCCACGGTTGAAGTTTCGAGTTTCGATCTCTCCTCGTCGCGAATGCGCAATCTCACGATACCGCAACCGATTGCGAATTTGTTGCCCTACTTCGAAAGGGACATACCTAAAATTCATCTTGGTGTACCCCAAACGCCCGGCATCCTAAATGTCGTAATCTCGTGCCGAACGATCTCCCAGTTGATGACCACTAAACCTGCCTGGTATGCGTGGATTTCACCTATTTTCATAACCTTCGATTTCATATTTTCACGTACAACTGGCTATATATAATTAAGAAGCCTCTTCGAATCATTAAAGTGAATAATTGCTTCGATAAGAATTTATGAAAGATGGAATTGCGGTAATATTTTTTTTACGTTTATTATGTCTGTTTATCGATAATTATAGCAACAAAATGTATCGATAAATTCACAGAATTTTAAAACTTTTATAGATTTAAATTTGTTTTTTTAGTGTATTTGTTTAAGAGTTATTATAATAAAATTAAGTTAGAAGGGAGACATAGTTGGGTAAAAGGTAGAGGCAGCTGCATACTGCAAGACACGTATTTAGGGTGACATCAATAACAGAAGGGTGAGAACTATTGATCTAGAATAATAGGAGGCGAAATAGTGACAACAGAGTATTGATTCTTGGATAAGAATAATTTGCCAGTAAGTAGAGAGACAGATAAGTTTAATTTTGTATTGATATTATAATTATACCTTTCAGTTTTTAATATTTAAACAATTATAGGTCTTTTAAAATTTACATTAAAGTAAAATTAGTTTAAGTAATTTTGAAATCAAAAAATTTCTCTCTTATTTATATATATATAAGGTCGATACATTTTAATTTTATTTAAAGCGGATTTTACTTTAATAAAAATGTATATTTATACGTATAAATAATTACGTATACATCCTTGAGACGTGGTTTGTCAAAGCTTTGTAATTTTCAATATTGAACAGCTTGCGTAAATATCACGTAACTTCGTCATTGAAACCCATTATTTTTTCAAATTGTTCTTTAATATCCGCGATCAAGATTGCACGCGATGACTCTAGAATACTTTGTGCACGAGCGATCGACCTCGCCTTTCGCCCTTTCTTCCAAGACACGTTTCTCAACTTGCCTGGCCCTCGCGCAAAGCTGTAATTCGGACTTATTATAGGCAGCCGGACGTATGTCGCGATATTGCACACCCGGATGTCAGAAGCGCAGCACGCGCCGTGCTCGCTCGTGCGCAGCACCCTTCTTTTTGTTGTCTTTTCCCCATTCTCGGCAACGAAACTCGCGCGAAACGCCGTAATCTTCATCGTAGGGTGCCCCCATCTCCCTCGAAACGTCACGATTCGCACGGCTGCAGTCCGACGAATGACGTGATAAATGACACAATGACGAGGTATCGAATGAAACTGAAAGATTAATGATCGCACGTCAAGGCGATCCCCCACGAACTTTCAATATAAACGAACGAAAGCACTTGGCCATAATCACAATCACAAGCTTTAATTAACTAACAAATTCCGCGGGATCATTTTCTTCACGCTCTTAAATTTAATTTTAATTTGATGAGATTTATATGTACATTTATGTATATAAATATATAATTATATATTTTAATTATGTATATAATTTTATTATATAATATATAATACACTCGTCTAAATAATTAAGGGATCAAAAAGAAATTCTCGAAAAAATAGCAAACTTTAAATAGCTGTAACTTTGTTTCGAAAAATGAGAATTTAAATTTTAAAAAAAGGTTTTAAAGCTTAAAATGTTTACTTTGGAAAGGTCATAGCTTTTTTCATTTCCTTCAATTCTGGTATATTTTACAGACAGAAAACGACGAACATAACAAAATGGAAAATTTTCTGTCACTTTGTAGACATGTTTCGTACACAAAAAAATTAAAAAATTTTTTTTGACATTTTCATGTTAAAGCCTAAAGTTTTCTCTGCAAAATCGTTTTTTAAAATTTAAATTTTGACCTTTCTTATCGAGTTATTGTAAATTGAAGAGAAAATGTCATTTTCACTTTAACTGTTTATAACTCCGTTATAAATAATCGTACAGTAATTTTAAGAACGGATTCTTAAAGCTGAATCTTTGCTCTATAATATGATATAGAGACAGACTTTTTTAAACTTGTAACTTTTTACAAATAGGTAAAAACAACGAAGAAATTCGCGAGTTTTCTCTTTTTTGTTTAATCTTTGAAAATAGTTACGCGCAGACAAAGTTACAGCTATTTAAAAGTTGCCTATTTTTGTATCCTTTAATTATTTTAAGATGTGTATATATAATTTATATATAAATTATATAATATGTAATATATTACATGTATATATGTATATATAAGCTATGTAGTGTGATACATTACATATTGACGCCATTATTGTTTAAAAGCTAATGCGATTAAATTTTATTATCATAAAAATTATCATATTCCAGATATTTCATCCATACGTATGCCCTATATGTCACTATTATTATCACATGTATAATTAATTTGAACGAAATTATTTATATGTTTACACACGCTAATGTCGCGTGAACAAAGGCGTCTTTATAGTTTCATCGGTTTATGTAACGCGACTGCGACGAAGAGAGACAGAAATATACAGCAATATATGTATTAACGATATTTATTAGTGAAAACGCCAGTAAATTACGGCTCGTTGTTAAAACGAAACACGGTCCTGTGGGAATGTATGTAATGCGTTCGTGGTAATTTTTCCTCAAAGTTACCGGCATTATTTAACCCACACACGCGCGGGTAACCTGCTCTTTAACGAGGATTTATAGCTTTTATGAAATATACACATCTCTCCCTCTTTCTCTCTCTCTCTCTCGGCTCGGCGCAAAGGATTCAATACAGACTCTGTGAATTTTTCTGGCGAGATCGTCGCGGAAGCATAAATCCACAAATACACCTTCTTTTTACGATCCTTTTGCATACAACTCGCTTGGGCTGGGATGCGTCTCGTCGTCGTTCTCGTCTGCATTCGGATGCAAATTTATCGCCGATCTTAAATCCGCGTTAACAGTTTAAAACTCATACGTAATAGTGCCTTTCGGCGGACTTTTTGTCCCGCAGAAGCAATATATATTTCTGAAATATTCGCCACATCAAATATCGTATATACTCGGTAGCACAGCTACATTTTTGGATATTTAATTCATATACGTCAAAGTTACGTAATATTTTCATACTTATAAGTTGAAATGAGAGAAATAATTATTTTTGTATATCAACTGACGTGACTGCTTAGATATTTCATCTTTCCTTTCAAATTTTGTCAATCTGTCTGTAGAACCTGATTAATAATATGCATTAATACTAAATACATGTTATGCATTCGAAGATACGATAGATGCATACGATCAGAAATATATATGTGCTATATAAAATATTGAAGTTGTTAGAGACATTGCATATCTGTTTTATGAGAAGCTGACATCTCTTAAATCTAGGAGAAATAAATCATTACTGTAGCCTGTTATTGTTATCTCTTCTGCTATTCGTGATTCTAGCAGAGAAAACGGTGGAAATAATTATTCTTCTGACAGTATCAATAACTGGAGAATGCATTATCAGCGAGGAGTGAGCATAATATTTATTGGAAAAATTCTCTCAACATTTTTTACTTCCACAAATATTCGTTGCTTCGTATTATCTGATATACGAACGTTATATATCTAACATGAACAAGATATTTTCGTACATTATTCTATTCATCTTTAACGCATTACGCTTTCATCGATGTTATAC